ATGTACATTATTTACATTATTCGGACTATTGTCCTCATTTGTCGCCATATTTATCACAACGTTTCGGCCGTTGTACGCTCCGGCCTTCTTCAGGTGGGATTATGTTGAGATCATTGACAAGGAACACCATTGGAAAATTCGTAAACTTAAGGAATCAGCACATATGCTAGGCCACAAAAATCTCCTGAGCCGACCAAGCATAGAAATAATTACAATAGGGGAACCAGTAATAAGGAGTGTCAGAGAAAAGCAATGATAACAACATAGTTGCAATATGAGCTCTGGTAAAAACATGATGATAACAGCGAAATTGCAATATGAGCACTGGTAAAAATGGTTGCTGAAGACATTAGGTTTATAATACCCAGAAATTCATACACAGATATCCTCAAGGACACATGGCACAGTGGATAAAGGCGTTGGTTAGATCCAGTGACAGGACCTAAAGAGTGTGAGTTCAATACCCGGTTAAATCAGTGGAGAACTTTCAGAGGGAAACTGACATCCATCAAACATGGCACATGGAACTAGAACAGTCTACCCCAGTGAGCGACATTCCAACCACCTGAAGAAGGCCGGAGCGTACAATGGATGAAACGGCGACAAAGATGAGGACAATAGTCCGAATAATGTAAAATATAGACGTAAACGTATCGTAAATCTGGATTTGTTTTCTTTACAACAAAAACACTGCTAACTTTTATGAATATGCATATCCTTTTATGAATATATAAGATACGAGAAATATATATCGTGTCTGGTTCGTACCTAGAGGGACGACCGTTTGAGACTACCAGGTTTTGTAAGCTTGGATGTGCGGGTGGTGTAATAGATAATGATTCGGAATTGTTAATCTTAGAGCCGAGTTCCAGTTCCTGTTAGGTTCCTTATATTCAATTATACGCAAATAACCTTGGTAAATATATGAATCCACCTCTCCCCCAGCCATGGATTAAAAAGTAAGAATTGTACCACTAAAATAATTATTATCTCCAAAAGTCAGTCAGTTATGTGCCATGCGTGATACACGCTTAGGCGATCATGTATCGAAAGAGGCAGATTTTTTTCCTGCAGTGGGTTGCCATTTCCTTCTGCAGTAGACCAGTTGTCATCCAAGGTTATAGAACCTGATCTGTCCTGCTATTTATCCATAGCTAATGGAGGAAGAAAAAGAGAATTCATACCTTTCCAAAGTGTATTAGAATGGATTTGAATGGAATTTGAACTCGGCTCTACGATTCCTCAATCCAAGCCGTTATCCATTACTCCACCGTACCTCCTCCAAGAACAAATTCTAAAAATACACAAATATTTTCTGGCTTTAAATAACCTGCAATGGGCTGATAAGCCGTAGATAACGAATTAAATACTTTCTTGAAATATGATAACAAGCCTGGCAACCAATCAGCCATTGTTCTTTTCTTATCTGTGAGTTTAAATAACAACATTTACCAATTATATATTCCAATTTCCAAAGTATAATTTAACTCTTGTAAAAATATAGATGTGCGTTGTTTCAGTGGGAAGAATATTGGTAAAAAGCATGTTTTTTTGCAGAACATTGTATTCATCAAAATAACAACGACATATCATTTAAGAAAGCGCCATCTTCCATAGTTGTTGACTTGTCTACATGCAACGAAAATGATCTTCTCTGAAGTAACGATATAATTTGATTTCCCGTATCACTATCTATTTCATCAATAGGTCCACGAACGGCTGCAACTCTTATCGATACTTTTTGTTTGAATAGCTGCTGGGTCTGGGTGCATCGCAGTCGATAGAGACACTTCAAAACATGGTGGGTCTAATAGATATCCTCAATTTTTGTGTGCTCTCCCATTTTTAAGAATAAGTTCTGAAAGTTAATAACTCACCACGAATCCATTTTTGTTTTTGCCTGTGCAAACTTCAAATGCTGAACTTATTTGGATCTCGGTCTTGAAATTGCTCATGGAGATCTTTGAAATATTCCTCACAAATACGACGCACCCCATCCCCGCATCGATTCATGACACAATAGGCAAAATGGCATGTTTTTATTTATCTAGACCCACTGTTCGATCAAATACAGAATATAACACCTCTGTCCATATTTCTGAGATGACGTATTGTAACTATTTACATTATCTACAGCGTTTGGACTGTTCTTCTATTTTTTTGTTGCTATATACACGACGTTTCGGCCGTTGTACACGCTGGCCTTCTTCAGGGGATATTGGTTGGAATTTCGAATTCCTTTTATTTAGTCCACGGGGTAGATTGTTCTAATTCCGCGTACCAGTTAATACCCCTTAGTAACTCAACTCTCCAAGTTTTTGTTCCCTCTTCTGTGGCTAGGTATTGAACTCACAACCCTTTGATTCGAGTCACTTTCGAATCTCTTAACCAACGCTTTTATCCAGTAGGCCATTTGTTTTTTGGGATATGTGACATGTAAAGAAAGGGATCGCCCTCTACCTATAAATCGAGAAAGGTCATAAGTGGCTACCCAGAGAACAAAAAGCTGTACCGTACAACGTAGTATCTACCCTGGGCACATGACAGCAAGCCCTACAAACTTGAATAGAACGATAAGAACACTCAGAAAACAGCCTCGGGGTGCATACCCTACGTGAAGATCTTTGATCTATTTAATATCATAATTTAATCTCCATAAAAGAGAAAATGATTAAGGACTGCGTGTACACCATCCCGTGCAGCTGTGGCAAGAAATACAAAAGAGAAGCAAGCCGCGTCCTCAAGATAATACTGCAGGAATATCGTAAAGACGTAACACGATGGGAAATATAAATAATCAGGCATATATATATATATATATATGGAGGGAAAAGAGAGATCACCACCCTCTGTGGTGTGAAGTTTAAAATAAAAGAGAGAGAACATCATTGAAAAATACAAAAACTTAAGGAATCAGCGCATATGCTGGGCTACAAAAATCTCCTAAGCCTTTCAAGTATAGACATATAGACATAAATGCAATATGAGAACCAGTAAAACTAGAGGAAAACCACAAAAATTGTAATATGAGCTCTGGTAAAATGTTTACTAAGACATTAGGTTTATAAATCCCGAAGATTCACTCACTGATGATCAAAAGTTGTTTTACGAATCTTACTTTAAAAAGCCAATATGGCGCAGTTACCTGGAAACTAAACTGCAAAATCATATAGACTTATTGCAATCTGCCCAGGACAGGAACCTCAGCCTAGCTACAGACGAAATCACGTTACCGTCACTTTAGGTAAGACAAGACAATACAAGGAGATCAGTGTGAGGTATGAAAAATATTGAATGGCTATTTTGATAATAATCTCAATGGTAAATATTAATTAAAATTCAAAGAAGGGTCTTTAATGCCATCGATTCTAACCTGGCACCTCGACTTGATTCCCTTTCTCAACAACGTGACGTGGCTTCCGTTCGTCTTTTGTACAAATATTTTTATGGTAACTTTTTTCATGACCTCTTTTCCATTTTGCCTCGACTGCATGAATTTAAGTGTACTACTAGATTGGCAATTAGGTCTCACCTTTTTACTGTTGAACTAGCTAGAGATGCAACCGACATTTCTATTCTAATAGTTTCTTTTCTCGCAATTCTGACCTGTGGAAATACCTTCCAATTTATTACTTACTTGCCACCTACAATCTTCAAATATTTTAATGCAATAGCAATCGAAATAGTCTGTATTCCTAAATCCTGTTACTTTATTGTCCTTTCCTCACTTATCCTCATTAAAGTTTTCTCATTCTCTTTATTGCTTGTAAGCCCCTCCGTCCTAGTGGCATTGTTGCCTTGCTTGGTTTGAAACGACGTTTTGTTTTTTTAATTCGGATTTAATGTATATCTTTAGGTAAGCTAAAAATACGAATTCTCAGAAGATAGATGCATTGTTACATTATTTTATATATCTATTTAAACGTAGTTATGAATCTATTTAATAATTAATTTCATTGCTTACTTTAAAAATGTTTTATAAAATATTTTCAAATCTTATATTAGCTAAGCGGTAGCATTCTTAAATTCATTAAAATATGCCAAACTAAAGCTGTTTTTTTTTTTCAAGGGCTAGAGTTTTCAAAATTTTATTCCATTATAAACTATCGAAAACCAAAACCTGGCATGTCTTAGTTGAACAATTACCAAATATAGTTACAAACAAATTATTACAACTACCCCAAGCGATAAAAGTGGGAAGTTAGCGCCAAGTTAATTTGTAGGTCTATTGAGAGACCAATATGTTTTTTATGTTGTTACCATTATACACTCACTGAACTGCTGGGCAACACTGGAGATAAAGTGACAGCAAGTCTCCTCCTTTCTCCGGCATCTTTCTCAGTAAGTCCTCATTCCCCACATCCTGTTAATCTCGATCTCCAGGTCTTTGTATTTGGACAATTTCTCGATATTTTTATGGAGTTGTTTCTCTCAGATGGTACTGACATGTCAGTAAGCACACATTTCCTGAATTTCTTGTCTTTTATGATAATAGCAGGTCTGTTGCATTTTATTTTGCTGCCAGTTTGAATTGGCATGTCCCAGAGGATAGTTACATCGTTATTTTGGATATCTGCGTCTGGTTGGTGTTCATACCATCTCTCAGTGGTTTCGATTGTGTGCTTCCAATGCACATCTGTCTCTACCTTGTTATGTCAATTGGTATATTTATTTTTTGGTACTTCCTTCTTCTTCTTCTTCTTCTTCTTATTATTATTATTATTATTATTATTTTCACAGGAGAAATGAGACTCTCAAGAGTGGTTAATAATTCACTGTCTTTCTTGAAAAGTAAGAAGCCGGATTTTTTCTTCAACGTTCCTTGAGTTTTATTAATAACACAAAGATATTCCTCGGACAACGTAAACCGTAGAATCTAATTAGATGAAATACAGCCAGACAGTTCTTTAGGGATGTTGTCGTTTCGTGTTATGCTTCCTGGTTGGGTTTTCCTGTTGTTCTTTACTTCGAGAATTTGCGTTAACAATATCTTATTATCCATGATTTTCTTTCGGTCTGTTTCCTTTTCTTTCTTTTCTTTTGTTTTTGTCGCTGTTCTTATCTAACATCTCTTCGAATTATCTTCTTTCGATTCCATTTATTTCTGCAAACAATCATTTTAGTTGTTCTTTTATCTGTTCTTCTTCAACGCTTCTTGTTTTGTTTTTTATTCTTATTCGTTTTTCCAATACTTCTTTTTCATTCTTTTCCATTAAATCTTTTCTTCTTCTTCTTTTTTTTATTAGTTGATTAAATGGCGTCTAAAGGGGTTTTGTGAGTTGGATATGGTAGCTTTTTGTCGAAGATAAGCATTTCCAACTAAAGTGTAAGGACAACTACGATTACGAACTGGAAAAAATAATTCCGGATTAATGAACTGTTGAATGTACAATACTTCTTTCATTTTTTTTTTAACAGTCCGGAAATTCGACGTATGATTTCTGTATTGAAAAATGTTAATTTAATTTTATTATTATATGTATAGAAATAAATACAAAATACCAGACAGAATATGTCTGTAAAAATACAAAAGGAAAACTTATCTTAGCTGATGTGTTTCGTCCTCTGAGGGACGTTTCCGCTATTAAAATTTTAAATTTAAGAAATGCCCATAAATATTCAGCGGGTTAGCTGAAAAGTCTAGGTAAGTTATGGAGGACACATTTAATGTATTTAATAAGAGTTTAGCAGACTATTAATTTTAGGGAAACCGTATCTCTGCTCTGATTTCTAAAGGTTGACAGCCGGGGTCGGATGTGAGCCATAATAGGGAAGTCGATTTTGATTGGCTAAGCTAGCGTTGAAAAGATAGATAGAAGAAATCGTCAAGCGATGTAGACGTGTTCTCTTTCCTGTCCAAAACAGCCCCCAAGTGAGGGGGTCGAGAACCTCTGGATAGTTATATAATGTACACGTCGACATGAGTAATAAAAATAGTTAAGTTAAAATTCTCTGTGTTTAAAGTCTTTCATTGCTGAACCAAAACAATTAGCGATCGCCGGTCACGAGAAGATGAGATGAGACCACCCCACCACCAGGAGGGGGGGGGGCTATGCAACAATCGTCTAATAAACGAAAGTGAGTAAAAGATGTTCTTTTTTTTTTTACTATTTTAGTTTCGGATTAAGTTACATCTTGTAAAGGGTGTTTAATTAAGACGGATCAAAGTCAGCAGTAAATAAATCACTGTTATTGGTGAAAATGTATTTCTCCGTTGAATCATGTTATTTAAGTCATGGCAATTATGTGTGAAAAATTATATCGTCAAATATCTGCCAAATCTGAAAGAAAAGAAAAAAAATCATTAGACGCTTTAACTTAATTAATTTATTCACATCCAACTTATTGAAACACCCTTTATATGTTTTTAATATTAATTTAAAAAATATTCAAGAACATCTTCACAGTTGTTTTGTAAACATCTCGCTGAACTTTGAATCAGGACGATTTAGGGTAGTACCTGTCACATAAGCATCTTGTCAATTGTCCTGATCTTTTCAACCGCGACTTCACCTTGATTGTACTTGACTATTCTCTCCTAAATTCACTAATTCTCTTTTTAAACTACCCTCAAAAGAAAGTTATATATGACTTAAAATGTATTAGAATCCTTTTTTAACATAGAAAAATCTTCCCCCTTCTTAAAATAAATGTGTCCCTGTGTATGCGTGGGCATTGCGTTTTATATACACTGTCAAAAAACAAAATTGCAATTCCATTAATAAGCGTTTCAATTTACTTAAGATTAATCCTATAGGTTATGACAATAAATTACAGTAAATGATTAATATGTCCACATGTTCCAAAATACTAGGCTTATCAACAGCATTCAAACACTATATTAATATACTCTCTGTCCTCCTTGGGACACTGTACTCTTACGTCCTTACGATTGGTCATATAGGTAATTCGATCTTACGATAATATATATTATTCCACGTTTGTTGCAGATTTTTGCCCAACCTCTACAACGAGGTAATCCTTAGGGTGCCGGAAACCCTCCCAAAACAGATTATCCGGGGGCATAATCTTGACAATAGAAGATCCGCAGATAACTTTATTGATGGCAGGCACAGAAAGAAATCTAACAGGTCTCCTAGACAAGATACTGATAAACAGAAAAATGTTGTTAGGAACAAAGAAAAGAGTGATTTCTATGTGATATCCATCTTTCTATATGTCAGTGAACGCTGGATATTCTTCCTATGGATGAGGAGAGAACTGGAGGCAAAAAAATATTCTGCAGAAGGATATTGAGAATTCTATAAACTGAACGAGTAACCAACGGGAAACTATTCAAAAAATGGCAACAAAAAGAACATTTCTACTCAGAATCGGGAAGAGACAGCTGAAATTCCTTGGACACATAATGAGAAAAGAGGGTTTGGAGGACTTAACACTCACAGGGGACAGTAAAGGCAAGAGTTATAGGAAAAGGCAACAAGCCACCTACCTGACGAGCTTGTGTGAATGGATGGTTGATCGGAGTTCGGGAGCCTTAGAAAAAAAGTTAAGAACTGCTAAGGGCTACAAGTTATAGGAAGTTGAGGAGAGCCTTGATACCAAGGAAAAGAAAAAATCATTAGAAAGAGAAAATAATGCGGAATTTTCATGTGATATCAACCGTCTTGTATCGATGTAAATGCTGGACAATCTCCTCACAGATAAAGAGGAAACTCTAAATAAGAGAAATGTGGTTCTACAAAAGGATAATGAGAATACCATGAACGGAGCGAGTAAGCAGTGACGATTTCTTGAAGAAAATGACAACAAAAAAACACTTATAATCAGAATCAAAAAACAAAAGCTAAAATTTCTTGGGTACATAATGAGGATATAAGGCTTGGAGAATTTGACTCTCACAGGGAATATCGAAGGCAAGAGTGATAAGAGAAGGCCTCGAGCTACCTACCTTGCCACTTTTGTGAATAGCGGAGCAACTGGTGGGAGGCACATAGAAGAAGACTATTGCACTTGTTGATACAATACTGCAAGAATTGTAGGCGGGTCAGCTGAATGTGCTAGGCATCGTTCCCTCATGACCCATATATGTTGAATGGAGAAGTCTGGCAATGCAGCTGGCTTAGTGTTATACCAGAACATTATCTATTCTATTGTAATAGACTCACCCACACATAATAAGTAGTAGTAGTAGTAGCGGTCGACAGTTGGGCTCAGTGGAGTTGAGTGAGTCAGTCGATGTCGGACATTGAAATATCAACCAACACAACTAGATTGCTGCGTCATTAACTCTTATTTCAAGTTCCTGATGTTTTGTACGTCGGACCCTTTTAGGACCGACTTAGCAAAATACAAGCCTCCACTGTGAAAACTACTCTACAACACTTAGGAAGATGTCTTACGGAATATTTTGTGAGGAAGGTTATCATGTGGGTGGCCGTTATCATTCTGGAGCAGCATCTCATTTTCCTGCTGCAGAATTGAGAGAAGATCTTTTCTCCAACAAACAACGATGGCAAGCAATTATGATACGAAACCCAAGGCCAATTATTGGGCATCTGTTGGCACTGCTGTCGCTCAAAGGAGAGTCTTTCTCCAGTGATGATTTTTTACAGAAGGTTTTACATGTACAAGGACCGAGGGCCCTTCGGCGTAGAGGGTTACCGTAAGAGACAGTTTATACGGATAGGAGGGAAAGATAACGGTTAACCCTAGACTTGAACAGGTTAAGATTGTAGTGATCGGTGAACCAGCCTCCAGAGTGTCGGTTCCACAGGGCAGTGGTTCGCGGTAAGAAGCTGTTCATGTGAAACTTACTTCTAACCGATGGAATACAGACAGAATGTTGGTGGTTTGCTTTATTGTAAGGGGCATCGCGGGTCCTAGCTGTGAAGGTTATACCTGACAGAACCGAGGAATGAAATTAATCCGAGCACTTTCCGTGGAGGTAGCGATTGAACATTGAGAGGTTCACAGCATCCCGCCTGTGAGAGAGAGAGGTTGGCAGGTGGAAAATATTCCATCACCCACAAGGACCCACACTTTTGACCTCTATCGAAACTAGTAAATGAGGACTGGGTGTTGGAACCAATGAGGGTGGCGGGTGGAAGATAATCCATCACCACACTTTAGAGGTGATGTGATCGCTGAAATTGTCTGGATGACATGAATGTTTTTTCTTGCTTGTGTTTAGAGTCCTGTTGCTAGACACAGGGTCTTCTAGCAGCTACCCTTTGACCCAGACAGCATTAAGGCACTTGAGGTCTGCCTCTGTATTGAGTCTGGCGCGCTCAACAACAATTTACCCATCTCACTCTGTAACCTTTAAGTGGTTCTCATATAAACATGCTAAATAATTGTATGAATCATTATCACAATGAGTTTGTGGCAGGAGATTCTAGTTCTGGGGTCCATTGCTGTAATTCTTTTCATTCTTAAAAGATACGACTCGTAGATATCTTTATATATATATATATATATATATATATATATATATATATATATATATATATATGAATTGGGATCAAATACAGATTAAATATGGATCGAAATAACACAGAATGATGAGATAAAGAACAAATATGTCTACCAATCTAACATGTTTATTTTCATTAACGTTTCACAAAAAATAGATTATGGAGAAAAAAAAAAACCATTTCTTCGAACTTAGAAAGGACGTGTCGTCTCTCCTTGAATTTGAAACGCCATAAATTATACTAGCGTTTGTTTATGAAGTCGGATGCACGTTAAACCTGATTAACCAATGAAAAGCCAACAACACAAAAATAAAAAATACCAGGCTTTCTTTTTACATTTTCTCCATATATACATACATACGTATATATATATATATATATATATATATATATATATATATATATATATAGATAGATAGATAGATAGATAGATAGATAGATAGATAGATATAGTGGTAATTCAAAAAGTATAAAGATACCCATTTTGTTTCAATACTTCTGGTGTCTTATCAAGTGATGGTGTACATTGCGAATTTTTTTTTTATTCAAAACCAGATCAAAACCCCTTAATACTTAACCTATGATCACCAAGTAAATGTAAAGTCAAAAATTATGACGATATATTCTAAATACAAACCTTTAGTTGATTAAAGTTAATGTTAAATCAAACCCAAAATCAATATGAAATAATTCACCTTTAATTGACGATAAAATTCAAAATCAGAAATTTCAAATTTTAAATTAAACCGAGCATTAGGTTTAAAATATTATATTATTAAGTAATTCAAAAATGGAACGGAGGAAAGGGAAAAAACACACACACACACACACACATACACTCATATATATATATATATATATATATATATATATATATATATATATATATATATATATATGTATATGTGTGTGTGTGTGTGTGTGTGTGTGTATTATCATTATTCTTATTTAAAGGCTAATATATCCGGTAAAGTTAATGCTGATGTGAAAAGTATACATGAACGTTACAGATCTCAAACGACAAGACGTCACATCCTAAAAACACAGACACTTGAATAAAACTAAACATATATGCATGCAATATATATAGAATGACACAAGGAATAGAAGAAGAAAACGAGGAAAAGAAGAAAGAAAAATAAAAAGGAGAAAAGGAAAAAATAAGAAAATTCAAAATTTAATTATAAAAACTCTTTATTTAAAAAAAAAAATTATTTAAAAAAACTCTTATTTCGCACTCAACACCATTACTTCATAAGACACAAAATGGCTATTTTTATAGTAATGTTATAACATGTTTATGTTATAATTTTTGAATAAATACTATTTGCTCTACTCTGTATCTTTTAAGAATAATGTTTTTGGTTATTGGAATTTTATTCCATCTACACCAATCCTATACTATATATATATATATATATATATATATATATATATATATATATATATATATAAACTCGTAGACATCTTTATATATATATATATATAAACTCGTAGACATCTTATATATATATATATATATATATATATATATATATATATATAAACTCGTAGACATACATATATATATATATATATATATATATATATATATATATATATATAACATATATAACTCGTTTATATATATATATATATACAAACGTAACACGTACATAAACTGGTAATATTTATTAGAGGCTCAGCTGTGCAAATTCGATTGCTTTTGTGGCTAGTGTAATAACGGACACATACGTTTCAGCTATTTTTTTTTATTCTCTGTGTTAAAAAAATGAATATGACTTTCTACCTGACAATCCTCATTAATATCACATCGCGAACTCGCAAGCAAAATTGCCTTGTCCTTCCCCGGCTTTCTGCAAATTTCACCTGAACAACATTTACTTTTAACGAACGATGTATAACTTCAAGACAGCACAATCAAGTGAACTGACCTTATAATCAGTCCGCTGCACAGCTGCCCCCTCAATAGAAATACCGAAGTTTGAACATTTATCATGCCTGGTCTGTGTGTATTTTATTTTAATTAAGAAGCCACATATCCTTTCTTAAGAATTATTTCTTTCTGTGCAAAATTGCAAAAATATAGATAAATATTCATGTCTCCAATACAATTTAAAATATGAATGAAATAAAAGTAATTCCCCAAAATATACTTGTTCTTTATCCCTATCGACAAAGTAAAGTTTCTTTTGCGAATATTTTAATAATTTCTGAAATAATTTTTGAAAAGCTCATTAAAATAAACATTGATTTTTTAACCAAAACAACACTGTATTGTTTGACAATCAAATATCAAGTTTACAAGTATGTTTGTCGGAGTTACTTTTATCAGATAAACAAAAGGTAATGGTAATAGTAAAATTAGACATTTCCTTATAAGGACTGAGTAGCCAATGTTACTTTCGGTTGAAATTTATAGTCCTGGGTATGACGATAAACTACATCCGGCAGCAATAAACAAAAACATTATTCTTAATCGAGAGATTGGAGGTTTTGTGGAGCGTGGAACCACCTCTTAATTGCTGTTGTTCCCAGGACCACACTGACCTGAGGTGGTAGTACTTGTTAGGGTCCCAGCTACGGGGAAAAGAGTTTTGATTTTTGTTTGATCGTGTACGAATTAAAAAAATGCCAGCGATATATTTATTTTAAAAAATGGCCAGTAGTAATATATTTTTATAGCAAAATAACAATCAATATAACACTAAAGTATAAAATATATTTTTATAGTAAAATTACCAGCAGTATATTTATCTCCAAACTATATATCTAAAATACGTTCGCCGTGTATGTATAAAATCATGCGCAAAATATCTAATTGAAGCCATAAAATTGCGTACAAAATATTTAGATTTCAGCATAGAGGTGTTAATATGCCACTAAACAAAAACAAGTTGAAATTTATAAAATCTTTCTTTTAAAATATTTCTTTTAGGAAAATATGCTTCTCAAGTCCAGTAATTGTTATTGCTCTTTCCAGTATTGATGGCGGTTTCCTTCTTAAATTTTTATTTGAAGTGTTGTGGAACGGTAGAATCTTGATTACGTCATAATTTTCTCGTCATGATATCTATTTTAGTTTTTTGCTACTATTGAAAGCTCTCAAGTGATGTGGTGTCTGTTATCTGGTACGGTTCTTTGTTTGTGGTTCTATAGCGCCACGAAGTCTGGTGAAGGATGGTCCTCACGAAGACCCACAGACTTCATTAGCTCGAAGCCATTTTTAATGATTCATCTGAAAAGTGGTTGCATACAACTGACAGTTTAGACAATTCTGAACGAGTATAGCGCCAGGGAGAACATATATATGAAAGTCTTGGACTGACGGGACTATTAAAGATCATGATTCAAGTTTTTAAGTTAATGTTTTGGTTTTGTACCAACCTGCGGTTTTGTGTGAAACTACCACATTATTCTATCTTCAATTTTCTTATCTCCTGTATTAAATTTTTCTATAACTGATCCTGAGGTATTTGAAGTGTTTAGTATTTAATAATTCTACATTCTGAATTCTTATTATTTATTCAGGATAGGTTCCATCACTGCTTTCATTTCAATTCAAGATCATAGTTTCAGATTTGGTAAGATTTAATAAATATTATAGAAACTTTTTAATAAATATTTTATATACTTTTTAAATTACGGATCAAGGTAGTTATCTCTCTCTCTCTCTCTCTCTCTCTCTCTCTCTCTCTCTCTCTCTCTCTCTTTCTCTTTTTCCTTATTATCTGTAAATAAAATATATTCTTGGAATTTAAGTGGCGTTGTTTCCCGTTAACTTTCTCTTTTGAATCATTTCAACCCAATCAAAGCAATAAAGCCACCAAGACACAAGTGGTTACCGAGTTTAAGAAAATATGAGAAAAAAAAAAACATTAATAAGGATGGGAAAGAAAAACAGGAAAAAAGACATCTGATATGACATTTAAAATTTTGAAGATTAATGTTGACTGGAAAGCCAGAAGCCAAATGAGAGTTCCACAAACGAGTAGTGCGAGAGAAGAAACAAATACCATAGAACTTACAGTTACATCTAGCAATTTCAACTTTACGATCCTGAGACCTAGCCGCCAATCTAGTCCTGCATTTAAATTCATAAAGTCGAGGTACTAAAGAGGAAAGTTCATCAGAACAATTATCATAAAAATAAGGGAAGCTACGTTATGGCGATGGGAAGGTCATTGACATCTTTTTGGATTCAGACTGAATTGTGTTCTCATGACATGGCTGTCATCTTCGGTTCAATTTACCTTAGATTGTTTCAAAAGACCTTTGTAAAGTTGAATGTGTTTCATCTCTTTGTGCCAAAGTTGTTGGAGTCTATGCAGTGCCTCATTTTCTTGGCAAACAGGGACTTAGCTCCTTCGAGGACTCACGTAGATTTATTACATTGTGACAAGAGCTGTTATGATGGTATAGCCGGAAATAGTGGTTCCTGCGGCTGAGCATGCTTGTGTGAATCATGGAGAGGATTGGGGTTTCACCTGGTATTTCCGAGAAGGGGTGAAAGCCGTCTTTGCCCTGATTACATCAGCTGTCAACTTGGCATCTATATTGATGACACAAGCATTTAATCAGTCCTAAAAGATCACAATAGCATCCAATATCCAAAATTATATCAAGTCCGTCGTTAACTGGGGCAAAAGAAGGCTTGTTAATTTTATCAGCTCCAAAACTAAACTTCTCTTCATTAATCATCTGAGAGACCCGTCTCTGTCTTCCAAGGAAAATGACTCATTGAGCCTTCTTGGAGTACCGTTCTCAGCTGATATGGAATTGATTGTTTTGTCAGCTGCTAAGAAAGTCGGTTCACTGTGTTGTTCGAGACATTTTTTTTTCCAAAATCTAACTTACATATCTATGTCTACCATTCGACCATGCTTAGGATATTGCTGCCATATATGGGCCGGTGACCCTGCTATTTATCTTGAGCTCCTTAAAAAATGAGCAATATTATTATTGGTCTGTTCCAGTTATGATGATGAACTACATCTGTTTCCTGGGTATGACGATAAACTACATCTGTTTCCTGGGTATGACAATAAACTACGTCCAACAGTAAGGCCTCTGATCACAAGTTTTTGAGTAGTGTGGAACCACTTCTTAATTGCTGCTGTTCCCAGATCCACCCTGACCCGGGGTAGTAGTACCTGTTAGGGTCTCAGCTATGGGCCAGTGATTAGCCTCTGAGCTGGGGTCAAAAAACTATGAAAGTGTAAAAATAGGTTTTAATACTAGAAAGTTTGTAAAAAAAATTTGACAGGTATATATTTCTGAAAGAAAATATTGCCAACTATACATTTTTACTAGTAATAAAAATTTTGTCTGCATTAAATAACCCATTGGGGTTGATATGCCGTAAATTAAATCAAATCAAACCAAATTAAACCTAATCTGGCGGCTCGGCTTCAGTCACTTTTCCACCGCCGTAAGGTTGCCTCTGTGTCCTTTCTATAAATAATTTCATGTTAATTGTTCAGATGAGCAGTTCGTACCTAGATTTTATGAATTTAAGCGCAGTATAAGACTGACGTCGAGATCTCATCAATTTATAGTTGAGCTGAAAATCTTTCTTTATTTGGAAAAGGTATGCAAATAAACCTGAATATATAGATTTCGGTATTAAAGTGCCCATCAGAAGTTGATATACCGTTAAAAAATCAATTAATTAAGGTTCCTGTATGGAATTGAACACTGGACAATTTCTTAAAAGATGAAGAGGAGACTTGAGGCAAACAGAAATTACAGAATAAAGAATACAGACAATACATCTTAGCGTTTTTTGTTTTGTTTTTTTTGTTTGTTTTTTTTTTCTCAAGTACTTAAATTGAAATAACGAACTTTTTCATTTCCGTCTGTGTCACATGCCTGTTGGAAAAGGACATATAGAGTTTTAACAAAAAGAAACACAACTCTTGGACTGAAGATTTCTTACTGATAATTCTTGGAACCTGGACCGGATTGGTTTTCCAATTTAGGCACCGATTATAGCATATTTTCACAGGATAGGATATTAAGTTCCAGTCCATAGATTTTTATTTTCTATTTTTGCCCATAAGTATTAAGACTACTTCCTTTGAAAGATATTTCGATAAAGGAAATTATTCTAACACAGCAAGTGATTAGTATTGTCAGCGTTGAGCATTGAATGCGCTGTGGTCGGCTCGTAGCACGCTGTGGTCGGCTCGCAGCACGCTGTGGTCGGCTGGTGACGCGCTGTGGTTGGCATGGCGGCACGCATGGTCGGCTGTGCGCGCTCTATGCATAAGAAAATTTAGCTATAAACCTGTTATCTTCGTATCTCTGAGTGAGAAGGAATGGATTCCAACCCTGGCTTTGAATTCAGAGTATTCTTTTTATTGGTTATCGACGAAGACGAACGAACCCTACTAGTTATACATGCGCTAGGGAATAAGAAATAAATTCTTTTTATCATATATTCTTACACTCACAGGCCACTAACCTCTTAGTGACTTTACTGTCTTGCTTGGAGTGGAATGATTAAAAAAAATAAAAATAAATTCACGCCATTCATTAACTATCTTAGTCGGATTTGAATATGGTCCGTGTAATCCGTTTTCCACCTTTTCGCGTTAATTCATCTTAACCCTAATATATATTGAGTTGGTGCATAATTATCAGGCGTTTTTCTAGGGTGGGGGAATTATTTGTTATTAAAAATTGCAGTTTTGAAAATTTTTTTTTTAATAAGAATATTATTTTATTTTCAGGTTATAAAAATGCATGACGATAATCATACGCTCCGGAATACTCATTTAAAAATGTTACTGTCGAATTATTATGTTTCTTTTATCATAATAAATGTTGATTAAAAACGCCTGATAATTATGCACCAACCCAATATATAAATAAATATATATTTATCACTTTTATTGTATGCACATTATTTTGACTTGGCCATTAAAAATAGCTCTCATGCCAAAAAATGTGGGCATCATCGGTTTATGACTTGTTGGAAAATGTTGCGCATTTCACTCCAAATGGACATCTATTATGCTCGCATAGTCCTTGGCGTGTGTTTAGTGTTGAAACAGTTTCCAGTGTTCTTCGATTTCTACTTGGACGTACGCATCTGATAAATCAAGTTTTGAAAAGATTCGGCCAACATTTAGCTGAGCAAACAATTTTTCTGCCGCCAACAGTGTTGACTTGTGATTGCTTAGACCTGTCGAAAAACATCACCTCATAGACGTAATTTATCTTTTTTTTTCTATTGCAAAACTAGGTACAGCTGTGGATTAAAATATTTATGAGGAAGACGACAGCCAACTTCTCTAGTCTAATTCTGGATTCATGCTTTCAACTGTCTCAAGTTGTGTGTTTTGTTGTTTTGTTTTTATTGATGGGGGATTCTAAGCAGAAAACTGATTTTCCATCAGGATATAAATGTAACTTCTTTTTTCCTTAAATCATACACCTAAATCCTTTGAAAAAGTTTCACTGAATCTTTTAATATAGATAAATCATACCACGAAAAAAAAAATTACAATAAATAATCCCATAAAGGCAAATTCTTTTCTATCCGGGTTTATTTGTTGTCAGTCCGTAATGTACGAGTGTTTGTGTCGTTTTACAATGAAAATCAGTCGTATACGAGAATTTCGTGAAAGGTTTATGATAACCCATTTCCGCTCAATGAAGAGATTCGAAAATTAATTAATCTTTTAATTAATTTATCTTTTATGACATCTTTCAGTCAGAGTTACACTTTTCTCCCATTATCTGACAGGCAATTCTTATAATAAGAAAACAATGCAGAATAAAATTATAGCCAGTGACTATGTTACGCCTCCATTCTTCTTCATGTCAGTGTTCTCCAAAAACCGCGAAAGGCCCGTTTCAATTTCTCAAGGAAACAAAAGCTAAAAACAAACGCAATGTCGAGAAATGGGAACCCTATTTACACTCTTCGAACAGTCTTCATCTTAGTTGTCATATTCACGGCGTTTCGGCCGTTGTACGCTCCTGCCTTCGTCAGGTGATTGGAATTTAGAACCTAATCTTTTATTTCGTCCACCTGGGCAGATTATTCTAGTTCCGCGTGTCATGCCTCTTCCGGATATCTTAGTTTCAGTTATTTCTCTTTAGTAACTCAACTCTCCAACATTTTAGTCACCTCTGCTGTGGCCAGGTATTGAACACACACCTCTTTGGGTCAGGTCACCGGATTGTTTCAACCAAATCTTTTATCCACTGGGTCATGTGACGAGTACCTAGAGAGGTAACCACTTTAGAATACTAGGTACTTGTAAGCTTGGATGTGCGGGTGGTGTAATGGATAATGGCTCGAAATTGTTATTCAGAGAGCCGAGTTCCAATTCCGGTTGAATACGTTATATTCACTCAATGCAAATACCGTTGGGAAATGTATGAATGCACTGCTTCTCCCACACACTATGGGTTAATTAGTAAGATTTGTACCACTAAACCATTTTTGCCACAGGCACTCCCAAATCTTACAATCTAAAAATATGTAGCGTAATTGATCAAGGTTAAATGTAATTGACAGAAATGCCCAAAATAAACAAATAATAAGAAAAAGAAAAGAACGGGACCCAAAATAACTTTGAATAAGCAAACAATATATCTAAGACAAAGCAACAGTAAAAGTGTTTGCAAACTAAAAAAGATATTAACACACAAATGGGGGGATACATACAAGCGATCGCAGCATTCTGATTTCAAGACAAGAAAGAACAGAACTAATAA